TTTGTCGCAAAAGTTATGTAAATTGGAAATTATTAAAATAGAAAAATCTTCATTTCCATTTCAAAATTTTTGAAAACAATTTTATCGCATCGAAGCGGTGAAATTGAAAAAACAAACTGGAGTTCCAAGAGCCTTTGTCATAGAATCTTTGATACTATTTTCAGTAAGCGCCCGCGAATTACCAAAATCGGAAATTTTGGCGTTGACGTTTTCGTCGTTATTCAAAGAAACTATGAGAATATTGTCCGGTTTGATGTCTCTGTGGATGATGTTACTTTCATGAAGAAAGTCCATTCCTTTTGATACATCAAGTAAGATCTTTATACCAAGCAGTGTGGTAAACTTGGGGTCTATATATACTGATTTCAAACTTCCATATTTAGCGTATTCTGTCGCAATGGAAAAATGATTTGGCGTCACAGAAGCCCCAATGAAATTGATGATATACGGACACCGCATTTTATCCATCAGGTCGACTTCTTTGACAAAACTCTCATCGTCATCACCATCGGAAAAGAGTTTTGACTCTTTAATTGCAACGACAGAACCGCGGTACTTTCCAATATACACAACACCATATGCGCCATCGCCTATAGTGTTGAACTTCTCCAGCTCTTCATAGTCAATTCTACTTGAAACGTTTGTTGTGCAAATGATGTTAATGGCAGCGTGGACTCCTTCATCACCTCTTTTCTCTGTTTTTGCAAAAACGTCGACGATATCCTTAGTGTGTGATGTACACAAAAAAGTGCAATAGACTTTGACATTAATACCAACACCAGGAGACAGTGTACCGCTTTGAGGAACAAACCGAATTGATGTTCTGTGCGAAACGGCATCTGTTGGATTAAAAGTGAATGTGTATTTCTTCTTTGTGTTGTTGGCAACTGCAATTTCTTGGCACAGTTCTTCTGCGACTGGTGCGGGGTCAGTCTTATATCCAAAGTCCAACTCTTTGACATCAAACGAGAGGGGAAAGTTCTCGAAGTCGTGAATGGGTACTCGTAATTTTT